TGAAACGGCCCAGGAGATTTTTCTCAAGAAAGCAATATGTGCATGTGCACAAAATCCATGTGGACAGGTTGATTTGTGCAAGCAGAGCCCCGCTGGGTGGAGAAGGTGCATCTTTGTTTCTGCTGCAGAGTCGCTCTGCTTCCTGAAGCACCGGTAGAACGATGGGGACTCCTGATGGGGTGAGTGCACACATTTCAGAGATCAAGCTAGTACGCCCACAACAAGGAGGGCATCTGGCTGGAGCACCTGACATTTCTCAGCAGCTCCAGTATGATAATGAGCAAGGCCAACAGTGAATAACCTAATCAAGCTATTAAAGGAAACAGAAGCCCTCTGCCCTGTTTGATTTTTTTCCCTATAATGATATAAAGGGCAGTTTAATGAAGTCAAAGGGTCCTGAGTCTCTCAGTGTGTCCAGGCCTTTGGAAGCAACACTACCAAGTCTGCCCATGGCGTTCAGTACCCAGTTACTGCTGTCCACCCTGGTCAGTGGGCCTTGCTTGCAAGCAACATTGTAGCTGGGACTTTCAGGGGCAGTTCTGGTTGCTACGGCCCTGCCTGCATTTTGTCTACATAAATTAGACCTTGTGTAGCATATTGGCCTGTCAGGGGACTAGGAGGAAACTGTATATTGTTTCTGGCATCCCTGAGCCCTTCTGCCCCTGACATCTGCTGTGCCTGTGACAGGGAATACATTCTTGACTCATTATCCGAGCAAGTGGAATCCCACCCTGACAGGACCATTAATCAGAATCAAGCAGTCCAGCAGAGAGAGAGAGAGAGAGAGAGAGAGAGAGAGAGAGAGAGAGAGAACATACAAAGAAGTGAGACACTTTCTAACTTTGGCTTTGGTGTCATTCAGGGGTCTGGACAACTAGCAATCCATCTTTCTGAGTGACAGCCCTGATGGATGGCATTATTTATGCTTTTGTGTATTAAAAGACAGCTCTGGCACCGACTTGTCATTTTCACAGAGGTTTACAAAAAGTTGAAATTTAATTTGGAGCAAAAGGAGGGCAGAGATCAGAGAAGGCTGGTGAGCTGACAGTCTCCAGAGACAAGAGAGGGACCAAGGGCATCTTAGTGGGAGAGTCTACGGGGGTGAGGGTGGATGTCACACTCCAGGCAGGTGTGTGGAGGCAGTGACTAGTGTTTCTCCTGTGTGGTTAGGTTAGGGATCCTAAAGGTTTCCATATTAAGTTAAGCACGGGTTAATCACCATGTTGAAATGTGTTGTTGAAAAAGAGATGAAAATGAAAGATGTGCTTGAGTGTTTAGAACCAAGACACCACACAAGTGGGAAGGAACAATAAGTGGTCACTTCCATGACCTGAAGCATTGCATGCAATCACAATTTCATAAGTGTAGCTGGCGATGCTGTCGCCTAGTGCATGTCAAACATTAAATAACAAGTGAAGGCAGCGTCCTTCCCACGGCTAAAATTACTGCTATGGGCGCATGAACATGTGTAGGACGACTCAGAGTATTAGGTGAGAAAGAGACCGGGCTACAGAGTAAGCATTTCTCATGTTCTGTTCTTCCAGCTTAGCATAGGACACGAGAGAGAGGAATAAAGTACGCAACTAAGATACAGCAGCAACACGCATTTATAACCTTTATCTATAACTCTGTGTTTTTGAAGAAACTTATACTTTCTACAGACATCTGCTTCGGGGCCCAACAGCCAGAATGCATCATTTCCTTTAAATTAATAACATGGAGGGGAAAAAAATCCCTTCTAATCCTTGCTTTGCTCTTTCCTATCCTTGCCTTGCTGACATACATCATCATACCTTCTCCCCCGAGGTTACATCCTCCTGGAGCACCCTGGGCTGCTGTAGCACTCTGCCGTTCCCAGGCAAGACAGCAGAGTGGGACCCTTCTTTGTCCATCAGCCATGGAGGGGATCTAACCTACTGCTCCTGTGGATGCCAAGCCCAATAAGCATTCTTCTTCATTTCTGGTACTTGTTCCCCTTTTCTGGGACGGGTATATGGGTTTTTACTTAGCGGTCTGTTTTTCTGCATCCCCGTCGGTTTTGTTAGCTCTAGATAGTGACCTTGGAAGATGAGAAGAAGGCCTAAGGCCTAAGATATCATGCAACATGGCATCAGACTGCAAAATGTCCCATCACATAGTCTATTCTAAGCCAGGATGAGATTAGTCTTAAAGAGAGCGTCTAGTTCAGGATAACCAAATGTTTATGATGGCATCACATGCCCCCAGCCAGAATGAATCCAATGTCTATATCAACAACAGTGGCCAGCAAGTAGCCAAGTCAAGAAGCTGATGTCAGCTGCTAAGTGAAGCAGAATAAGCATGACAAAGAATTCTCTTAGAGGCCCTTGTTAGGTTTTCTTGGCTGGAGCTTAGACCCCCCTGAGCTACCCCATCGACCGACTTTGTTGTCAACCCTGGGCTCTAATGTCAGCTCCGTCTCTTTTAGCCTTTCAAGTGTCTGTGTTCTTATCAATTAAAAAAGGATAGTTATAATTACTCATTCAAGTTGTGAAGATTAAATGTGATGACATATGTAAATTACATCACGAAAATTCTGGCACATATAGATGCACAAAGAACATCTCAACCTTAAAAAAAAATCCCTGCTAGGGTTTCTTAAGATATGATTAGTTCTCTGTGCCTACACAAGAAATAAGACCTTTGAAAAAATTCCTGATCTTTTAATTATCTGCACAAAGTGTCATGTGGCATTATAGACTATGTCTCAATTTAACTAAGAGTAAAAGATCAAGTATTGGAGGAGCTGAGAAAAAGAGACGGCCCTTAAGGTAGCTATGAAAACCAAAGACACAGTAGAGATTTTTCCTCTGTGGGAAAGCTCCTACTCTTGTTATTCACTAGGTCACACAAGTGTGGAGGTGGACATGAGACAGGACAGAGTGGCTGAGTGTGAGCACGGTCCTCGATGTCCTGCAGGGGGTTGAATGCCTTCTCTCTGGGTAGCTGAGTGTGGGCACGGTCCTCGATGTCCTGCAGGGGATTGAACGCCTTCTCTCCAGGACTGCACATGCTGTAGGGGTGCCCTGCAGATGCCAGGCACTTCAATTTCCTCCAAACTGGAGGTGATCATATCTCCTTAAGAGGGTCATCAGATTTCAGATCTCATATGGAAAGTGTCTGACACAGAAGGATGCCTGGGCATCTACTGTTAGTGCTATGGGAAACATGTCTGCACAAATGGATGCAGCACTGACTCAGGAGGGGAAACTCAGACCAAATATCCTATAAGAAAATCCTGGTACAGATTGGATTTGCTCTCACAGACTCCCTCTGCAGCCGAATATTCCAATCTGAGTATACAAAGAGTTTCAGTCGCTCTGAACAAAGAGAGAGAGGAAAGTGGCGGTTGGGGAGAGAGAATGGACGTAAAGTAGAATAGGTAACAGCTGATATGAAGTAGAGCAGGTAACAGCCGGAGTAGGCTTTGCTTAGTGCTGCTTTGCAAGAAAGGGAAATAGAGACAGACCAACTCGGCCCTGGAGCACGTTCTTGTGCTCAAGGCAAGGTGGGAGTTAGGACTTGAGCAAGAACAGGGTCAGGTCATCGTGTTCTCCTGGGGACTTGTATGAAGTCATCTAAGGTGGGGCAAGGCTGCAGTGTGGGAGTGGCCTAGAAAGCCTCAGTTGTCCCGGTGGAGGAGTCCAAGGTCTGCTTCATCTCTAGCTCCACGGTGGGGCTTGCAGGGAGGGAAGCACCCAGGAGTAGGCAGCCAGTAACTCTGAGTCACCCTAAACAGTATTTGAACATCTGGATGGGAGAACAGCCACAGGGAAGGGAAGGGGGGAACCTCTCTTGGTATCCACATTAGAAGGCGGTAATTATAAGGCATGTGTATGCATCTCAGTGTAACTGAGAAGGCAAGGCAATCCAGCATGGTAGAGGGGGGCAGTTCGGATTAATTTCATTGTCGAGCAGCCAATTGTAATAATTAAGCATCTTCAAATGGTTTTTCAATAATATCTTTAGTGAACTGTCCTCATTATTTTAACAAACCCAAAAATTCCCTTAGAGCTCTCTGTGTGTGCTTTGTCCTCTTACTTAATCTTTCTCATGATATTTTAAGCCTCTCATTTGTAAATTTTTCGGCCATGTGGATACTTTGGTTTAATTAGGAAATATTATAGACATCTGCCTTTGTTTTATTTTTCCCGATAGACTAGTGAGTGACTTCCTCTTCATCATGTGACCTCATGGTTGGTAAACTGTGTCACCAGCTAGCCTTTATTCCAATTTTGGGTCTTCTCTGACCCACGCTTGGTATCCTAAACATGGCTTGCAAGTCCCTATCCCCTAAAGCATCCAGATATGGGGCTGGGGTGTAGCTTGTGGTAGAACTCTTTAGACCCAATCTACAGAACCACAAAGAAAGAAAGGAAGGAAGAAATGGAGGAAGGAAGGAGGGAGGAAGGGAGAAGCAAAAATTTTCAGTCCTCATATATGGCTTTTATCCCCACACATGTTTCTGTAAAGTGACAGGACATGAATGGCATCATATTCCTATGGGAGCATTGATCCAGAACAAGGAGAGCAAGGTCTAAAGTGGATGCATTGTACCTGATGAAGAGTGAGAGAAAATCCACACGATGCTGGGAAATGCAGCCAACCATCTCAGAAAGACATTCTACCAGGATGTATGCCCAAACAACAGCTAGCCCCTTTCTCAACAAGCTCCAGAGATAAAGATGGTAAGAGAGTCCTTGCTCCCACCCTCCAGCAGAGAAAGATGCATGCAGAACCCAACTGATGGTGCAGACACAAGAGAAAAGGGTCTCCAAAGGGATGCTCCTCTGTGTCTGTCAGCTGTCCCCACATGGCCAGCTCTCTAGACAGCTATGACAGTCTCAGGCCTTTACCATCAAAGGAACCTCCCTGCTTTCTGCTTTAATATTCTACCGCCTTGGTAGCCCCCTAGGACAAACCTCAATTAGGCAAGCAGTTTGTTTCTGGGTCCCTGAAGTTCATTTGGTGGACTCAGCTGTTTATTGAACCTCGGGGAGTTATTCATTAACATCAGTACGAAATGCTTGACAAACATCTGGCTTGTTGGGGGTTGGACCTGGTTAATTCTACTTGGATCCGCACCAATATTAGTTCTGCTTGGATTAGCACCAGCACTAATGATGACATAAGACATTTACTTCATTAGCCTGATGAAGGGAAAATTTTGCATGCTCAGCCTAAGCCAAAAAAATAAGAGTCCAGGTCCAAAAACTCAGGAGCTGAACCCATGGAGAGAATCCAGCTAACTGTGCAGAGGGGACCCAAGCGCAGCGGGTAGAGATGCAGTGGTCTGCCACAGGGGATCCTGAGCTGAGACAGGTAAGGACTATACCTGTGTGTTCCTGAAGGTGGAGGTGGTGGAAAGTTGCTGCTTCGTCCTCAAAGGCAGTTCACACAACTGGAGAAGTCTTTCCACATTCATATTGCAAAGGCTCAAAAGCCTGGTGCGGGCATGGAGCGATGTCTCAGAGGTTAAGAGAACTTGCTGCTCTTTCAGAGGACCTGGGTTCAATTCCTAGTACCCACACGGCGGCCCACAGGGGTCTGTGACCCCAATTCCAAGGATACAACACTCTCTCCTGGACTCTATGGACACCAAACATACAAATGGAACACAGACATAGAGATAAGCAAAATACCACTATCAGCAAAAGTGCTAGAAAATGCAAAATTGAAAATAAGTCATCTTAAAGCCTGTGGTAATAAAGAGTTAGCTAGTGCCTACTGTGGGGTATTCACCAGAGAATATGGCTTGGGATGGGTTTAAGCCAATAGAAAGTCTTTATTGGCTAACTGGTTACTACACTAGGTATTGGGGATCCCACTGAACCTTTCTGAGCTTCTAAGCGCAAAAACCATGTCCTGGGTTGATACACTTCAGTTAACAAAAACAACTAGCCAGATATGGAAAAAGAGAAGCCAAAAGGCAGGGTTGGTACATTTAGAGACTTTCCACGAACTCTGGATTTTGATGGATTCGGCCTTTGTTTTAGTTTTGGCTGGAAGTGCTGCTGTCTACGTGCTGAGTTTTATAGCCTGAATGGTGCTTCCACCATGGAGTCAGGTGTGCTAAGATCTGGGACCCTGTTATAGCACCCAGGGAATGAAACTACCTGTCTCTCATGCAGGGTGTCTTTCCTTCTCTCTTCCTACCATTGGCCTCCAGCACAGACGGAGCGACTGGAGACCACCAGTTTCAACCACACTAGAGTAAGGGAAAGCATAGACCAACAGGTAAGAGCCTCGACTCACATCAGCTGTGTGGGGAACTTGATGATACAGTGGTTTTGAATACCATGGGTCAAAAGTTCACTACAGGCAAAACGTGTGATGTCTTATGAGCCCACGTGTCCCCACCCCTCGTCTCGGGGTAAAAGTGCTTCATTAAGCTGTGACTCTGTGGTGGCCCAGATTCCTCTGCACTTCACTGTTTCTTTCCACCCAGAAATGTGTTGACAGTGGTGATTATGTCCCTACTCTCGTTCTGACTGATACATGTCTATGACACCCATCAATAACTGTCACTCCAAGAAGGCCACCAGTCCAGAGAGCACCTTTGGGTTAGGAAAGCCTGGGGAAAGTCAGGGGGATCGCTGGAAACAAAAGCTGCCTATAGCAGCCCAAGGCTCAGCCCCGGTGCAGTACACTCTTGCATCTCAGCTATTTGAGAAACGCTAAGGTCTTCACTGTGTGTTTATGTAAATATACGTGTGTCTGTTTAGACACAGTCTGCACCAAAAAATTTGCTCTATCTTGTCGGATGCCATTAAGTATTCTGCTGCCTTTACCTCAGAAGGAGTTTACCCTTGTGTTTGCATATGGGATTGCTAAAGGCATCACATGGGCCCCACCCAATCAACATCACTCCAGGTCTTTAGCATCCTGAGGAGTTCATTAAAATACAGTCTGATTCCAAAATCAAGCGTCTAGTGAGACAGGGTTTGAAGGCTACACCTTAATTTCCCTGAATAAATGGGTGGGGGAGCCCACTGGTGTAACTTCATTGAATTTATTACAATTGACAATTTAAAATTAAAAGAAAAAAAAATCTGTTCTTCTCTGGTCCTGCTTCTCAGTGACCTAATGAGATGGAAAGGGACAGTTGGCAGAATCGGTCATCTTGCTGGGCTTTTCTCTTTGTGCTGGAAGCTGAGCTTGGAAGCCCACTGTGACCTGTTAGCTCTGCTTGTTCCTTGGCAGCCGGAAAGGTTGGTGGGAGGGGCAGGCAGAGCAGCCACAGGGTATTCTGGGCCCTTAAGATTCCCCACTCTCCCTGACTCTGCTATGCCGAGAGTCCCTAACAGGAGGTTGTGAGTTCCCTGTGTCATGCCCCTATTTGAGTAACTCTGAGGCTGTGGGCAAATATAAAATTTTGATACAAACGTTAAATAGAGAGGCTATGTGATCCTGTGTTAAATCCGGAGTTTCTTGGCAGTCGGGAAAACCTCCCGTGAGGGGTAGTTTAGGATGTGGATGGGTACACTTAGGTCGGCATCAGGAGCAAGGAGATTGAAGGAAGTGGTTGCTGATGACCGAACCCAGCAGAGTCGATTCTGAGTTCTTCATTTAAAGGAAGGCCATCTTGGGCATCAGCTGGACGCTGCAGGATATCCATGCCAATATTGCTGCTTTCCGTGGGTTTAGCATTGATCAGGTGTCTCAATATTAAATAAACTGAATCCTTCGTTCCCTTAGTTCCCACACTGCAGGATGCTCACCGGCTCTTCCTGGGGAAGGGAAAAGTGGGAACAGGAGAATGAGTGTCGTGTAGCTCCGGGCGTAGGGTCCAGTCTGAGTCCAGGGCTTGTTCCTTTCTGCTGGGTATCCACAAGAACACAGGCAGATGCCCTAAGCACTCGACTTCCGTGCAATCTGTGACAATGACTCTTTCGGGTTATTCTCGAGCAATGTCGAAGCAACAACCTTACAGGCTCTCCCACTAGTCACTCATTTTGAGCTGAACTCCCTCCCCGCAGCCCCTGTCCACTCCTACTCTATAAGCTGTGGAGGGTTAATACCCTTCCTATTGTAGACACTGACCTGACCACCCTGCATGAACATATGCACGCCTTCTAGATGGCTCAGGTGTTTTTCATTCAGAGATACTGGTCTCTGTGCAGCACAGAGGCGAGCCTGGGAAGGAACCAGGAGTTGAGGGCCTTATAAAAAGGTCTTTGTATTCCCTTTAGTGTAGGAAACAGCCAAGATTCACCATTCAGGTCCTAGATATCTGACTTGGGCATGTCCTGGGCTTCCAGGGGATAAGACAGATGAATGCACGCTCCTCCCCCAAGGACAAATGCATCCCCTGATGGCCTTTTAAATGCACCCCCAGACACACACACACACATACCTTCCTGCCCACTCTGAACACTCCCCCTGCTTTGGAAATCGATAATCGCATCGTTTGTCTCCAGTGATGACTGGGACTCTAATATCTTTCCTTTCCTCTCTAGTTTTATTGCTGCACAAACTTCTGCGTCTATGGCAGGAGGGAGTGGAGAAGGGCACACCACACAGAGGAACTTTCTCTAGGCTGTAGCTTATTTTTACCACTAATATATATTAAAAATAGAGTCAAGTCTCATTGTGCAAGGATGAGTCCATTGCCCAAAGAACTTCATTGCGTCTGCATAAAGTAAGTCTCCTTCCCAAGTCTCCTTGCTATTCATTTAATTTCAACCCTATTGTGCTAAAGGCACAATTATCCGCAAGCTTTGCCTATACACTGTGGATCGCATTTCAAATTTCCTTCTTACTAATCTACATTGTTCAGGTTCCTGCACGTCTCTCCTAGTTGCTGAAGGGTATATAATATCACAGGCTGCGTGTGGCTGTGCCTCGCTGGGTGGGGGCGGAGCTGTGGAGACCAGAGTTTCATTATGTCCAAAGCCTCCAGAGCTTCGTGGTTACTTGGTCCTCTGTTATTAAGTGTCGTAGCTTCCGCGTTGGCCTGGAATTGCTGTGTGGCCCAGCTTGCATCTTCTGAGACTGGCGTCCACTTGGTCTGCACACGGGATGGTCCTGCTCCCTCCACAACCTGGACGTCGACATGGCGAGAGCCTCCAGGGTTTGTTTCTCTGCTGTCAGATCTGTCTTAAAACCAGCTACCTGGAGCTGATGTGTAAATTACAATCTTGGTAGCCTTGAAACACCAGAAATGTATTCTCTCCAATTGCTGAAGGCCAGAAGTCAGACCTTTGGGAGTCTGCAAGCCTTTGCCCCCACCCTCATAGGTTCCACGAAAGAGTTCATTTGGTGTCTCCTCCAACTGCTAGGAGCTGCCCGTTTGGCTTGGCTTCATCTGTCACTCCTGTGTCCCTTCTCTTTGTGTCTCTCTCTTTCTGTTCTGAGCACCTAACTCAAAACTGCCTCCCACTCTCTCAAACACGTGCGCTTGCATTTGGGGAATCCCCAAATAACCCAGCATAGCTTTTCCTACCGAGATCCTTGAATGAGTCAACTTCTTAACAGGTTCTGAGAGTTGGAACCTAGTGGGGCCACCGTTCAGCTACAATACCATCTCGGTTTGCCCTGCCTTAACCACACCTTCTGTTTCTGTCCCTTTAATAGGATTTGCTATTTCTTCTCGAATTGAATCACTAACTAAAGATATTTGTGATTTTTTTTCTGTCCCCAAAGCATCTTTAGTTATCATTGATCCCACACATTTGCCTGACAGTCGCTGTGTGTTTCCCCCACCTCTGCTAGTCAAACAGCTACTGGATTGCAATGAAGAATATTAGAGTGTGTGGCTTTTTAAAAAGGCTTTCTCGCTCTTGTGGCTCTGACATCCTCTTATCCCATCCACCCCAGCCTGTGGGGTAAAAAGAGAGTCTAGAGTCAAGTGGGCGGTTAGAGGCGAGTCCTAGAAGTGGTGTGCAGCTCTCCTGCCCACATCTAATGGCCTGAACTCAATCCACGGCCCTACTTGGCTTTGAGACAAGTGGAAAATGCAGCCTAGCTGTGGAGTCAGCATGCAAAGCAAACGCTTACACACGGGTGCTTCAGCAACCCCCTGCCAAAGCAGACTCCTTCAGGCTGATTTAGAAACCTTTAAATCAGGATCAATTTTCCTTGGTCTATAGCCAAAGACAAAGGACTAAATCTAAGAGATATTAGGCATTACTCAAAGCAAATGTGTGTGTGTGTGTGTGTGTGTGTGTGTGTGTGTGTGTGTGTGTGTACATTCATATGCAGTGCCTTATGCATGAGGGATGTCTTTAAGATTTAGGTGTGTCTTAGTTTTTGGGTTGTTTTTTGTATTTTTGTTTTGGGGGGTTGGGGTTTTTTTTGTTTTGTTTTGTTTTGTCTTATTTTGTTTTAGTTTAAATGCATCTCTTACAAAACCATGGGCTGCTGTTGATGGGCTCTCTAAGAGTCCCAAGCATTACAGACAGGTCTTGTCCTTCCCCATTCTCTCTCTCTTACTGCAAAATGTTAGAATACATTTCTAAAGCTAGCCCCCAGGTCCATTCCTTTATTTGGCCACTGACTCGTTCCTGACCAAACACCAACATCCAGCAACCATAAGTCATCATTTGGCTACTCTGGCTAACCTGCCCAAGCAGATCGCACCACCTCAGGCTAGCACAGACTTCCCCTTGTCTCCTTGAAACCCCTCCTACAGAGACACCTGCCGCTTGCTGTCTGCTTTTGGCCAATCCAGAGGCAACCCCGCAACTCCCATTGCCCCTTTGGGGTAATTATTTTCCTTAGGGGTGAGGACTTGGTGTCTGGGTCTGTCCTGAACCCAGTCCCCTCCCAAAACTAGCTGTAGAGCACAGTAGTTCAGACATAAAGCTTAAAATCAACCGGGCAGGGGGAGCATAAACCTCACCCATCGTTTGCAAGTCCAACAGACTTGACTTCAACCGCTGGTTTTCAAAATGTTGAATAAGAAAACATGCACCACACAAACGCATAACTTGGATACATGTTGGTGTGTTCATAAGTATATATATGTGTATACATGCATATGCATACACGTGTTCTATATACATAGATTGAGAGCAACTTAATTTTCCACTCAGAAATAGGCCATGGCCTTCGGTTTGAAATCATTGGCTTAACCTCTCTGTGGTCTGTTTCTTCCAATGAAAAACAGGCTTATTGGAAGGATGAATTAAACTAATTTGCATAAATAGTCTATGCGCTCACTACCTCATGCGTGCTAAGTTATTTTTCTTGTCAGTGTTACTGTAAGAATGCCATTTAAAGCCAGGACTTACAAAATTTGTACAAGGTTAGTAAGACACAGATAAAGTTCAAACGAGGGATTAGTCTCTCCGTCGTCGCAGGGTAGGATCATGTCAGTGTAATTACCTTTATTCATTTAGTCACCTACGGAATATTTAAGTGAAAAAACGTGTGGCAGCCACTGTGACCACACTGGCGATGCAGGCTGAATGAGCCAGGCTGCTGTTGTCTCTACGCAGCTTGGCTCTGTAGAACTGAGCTTGCAATCCAGTAGCCTCGCCGTGTGCAGCCATCTGAATTTACACGTGAATTCATTAAAATGAAATAAAATTTAAAATTTACATTTTTTATCACACTAGTTCAACAGCCACATGTTTTTGCCGTGTATAACAGCACAGTTGCAAAACATTTCTATAAGCAGAGAACGTTCTAGAGTTAAAAAAAAAAAAAAGAAAAAGAAAAGAACTTTGTAAGATGGACGCCCACGCTTAAAATCTAGACGAAGATGAGAAGATCTCAGATGACGTGGTCTCCCCATCTGGAAGGGACTCAATAGTATTTCACATACTCTAGCAATGTCACTGCCAACCTAGATAAAAGCTTCTTCCTTCACACACATGGAGGTATCCTGGCATCTCCATCTATGCTTTGAGTTTGGGTCGTGAGCCTAGCCTATAATGGCCGAGCCATCTCTAAGGCCACCTCTATCTATTCTTCCTGCTGCAGTACCATTTACAATGCTAAGTATCTACATAGATATTGGGGGAGGGGACATGTAATTCTATTCTCAAGGAATCTATGGGAGAACTGACTCCAAATGCAGACTTCAGCCCCATCTAGACCCTCGCGCTCCCAGCCCTGCTCGGCTGCTGGCTAACACTTAGCCTTTTCTGCCAAACCATTGGTGGCAAGATGTGATAGAGCCCTGGGGCATTTCGTCACTGGCAGCAGTGTCTACAGGAAAAGTGTTAGTGTCACATGGGAGACCTGGTCCTGACAGCCCACTGAGCGACAGCCTTCTTTTCCCCTGGGCAGCCAGAGGCTTGACTTTCTCACAGACAACTGCCGTTCCACAACTTCAGGGGCTTAGACTCCACTTCGGCTGTTAGCTTGCTATTTGGACATGGGCTCTTGATAGTTTCCTCACACCTAAACTTGCCAAAGACTCTGCGCATGCGCACGCACACACATACACCTATCGTGACGTATCCTACTCACATGAAGACAGAACCATTACATAGAAGAACATCTAGAGTTCAGTTTGTGCTTGATGATTTAGCATGAGTAAGTATGATACATAGTACAGAATCTAAGAGAAGAGCAAGAACTTTGAAAACAGGCCTGGGATTAAAATCATAGTAACTGTACCAGCTGTTATCATGAACAAGTTGCCCGTTCACTCCCACCGTTGGGTTCTTCAACCTGTGAAACAAGTTCAGAATGCCCGTGTGTGGTGTTTGGGGTTTAATGGGGTGTACTGAATGCAAATGCAGCTACACTGGAGGCAGCGTTCTTTCCCCTTGTCATTGCCTCCGCATCTAGAGCTTTCCTCGTCCTGGAAGTGATGGTTACTATGGTCAACTTGACTGTACTGAGTAATGCCTAGGAGACTGGTCAAGGACACCTCTGGGTATGTAGGAGGCATCATCTCCAGAGACTGTGGGAGAGCTCGGATGTAATGCAGGACTAACACGCCAACAGGCTTATATTTTCAGTAGGCTATCGAGAAGGGATGGAACCGTGGAAGGCCCAATTGGAGGAAGTCCCTAACGGTTTCGATAGCGTCAAATTAAAATGAAAGTAGGTACCAATAACACAGGTACCAGAAGCAGCCAACAGGACAGCGAGAAAAGAATGAAAGATTAAAGATTAGAATCTTCGCAGACTAAGAATCTGTGGCGTTTCCAGCTATGCTTGCTGTTTGTACAAACAGATCACTGCAGATGTCCTTGGGAGCTACATTTTGCCCTGGCTCCTTCCTGTTGCTTCCTCTCTGCTCTGTTTCCTGCTGCCATGATCTGAGATTCTCCATCAGGCTACCTCTGTCATGATGAGGTAAAAATCTCTAATGCCACAAAATGAACTAAATCCGTCCTCGGGCGGCCTGTCTTGGTTATCTCTCACAGGCAGTGAAGTCTGACACTCTTGCCTTGGCTGCCTCTCCATCTGAAGCGGCTCTCTCTGGGGACTTCCTCCTGATCTTCAGAGAACAAAGAGAAATGTCCAAAGGAAGACTGAGGTCAGGCCCAGTCCAGAAGGAGTTGGTGTAGCATTCTCTGGTCAAGTTGGATGGAAGCCTTGAACTGGGTCAAGACAGATGCTGCTTTTCATCCCTAAGGGTCAAAACAAGCTCCATGGGACTAGGAACCTTCTTCCTGTGGAAGCAGATTATGGGAAAAAGAGTAGTGAACCCTTATACCGACTTCTTGGCTACAGTTCTTTACAGAACCTCTCTGCACGATCTTGAGGAGCCTAAATGAACTCTGTTCTGAGTGACAAATGAGGGAGGATTATTGTCAAGTGCATTCCTGGGGTCACACTGCTCCTTGTTTAGGTCTTCAAACCCCTGAGCCATCGAATATTGACATAAGCAGCTCCCTTCCCTCTCTCCCCATCAGCTTCTCATCAGTTCCTACTGACACCCCAATATAAGCCTTGTCCCTTGCCTGCTCTTATTGGTTACTGTACATTCCTCTCTGTAACTCTTAGCCAGATACACAGCTGTGAGCGAGCATTTGCATGAATGTTTGCTTACTATTGTCTCCTGAGCAAGGCTACAAACTCCTCGAGCGAAGCAACCTGGTCCAGTGTTTTTCCTCCAAGCCCAGCACCGCTGGCATTGGTTTCCTGGAATTCTAGCCCTTGAGAGCAGGCAGGCTGGGGTCCAGATATACAATTGCCCGACTCACACATTCTTCTGGACCTAGTGCAATAAATCTTTGCTGAAAGAATGGCAAGGGTTTTGAGAGTGTCGAATTACAATAAAAGTTGGAATTAACGACACAAGTAACAGAAGCAGCCAACAGGACAGCAAGAAAAGAATGAGAGATTAAAGATTAGATTCTTCCCAGACTAAGAATCTGTGAAGTTTCCAGTTGTGTTTCATGTTTACACAAACCATGCTGCAGGGAAAAAGATCCTGAGTCCTAACGTGGGCAGTCGGGGCACATCCCCTCCCAGGGAATGGAGGAACTGGAAGAGGGGCTGTCTCTTCCACTAAGTGGGGAGCTCTATGTAGGTGTAACTCTGGTTCAATTACCTCTAGCCCATTCTGAGGGACAAAGACAGATTTCACTGGATATAAAGGAGGGGTGCAGATGGACGTGTGAAGGACATGTCTGAAGATAAATGTTCTAACCCCTTTCTCCCCGGAAACATTTGCTTGGTGTGAGCATGTCCAGAAATGCTCCTATTCTGTAGGAAGTACGAAGAGAGTGTGGGCATTTAATATGTGTAATTCCCCTTTGCAACACAGAGAGGAAAAATTCTCCCTCGTCCTTCAAATCCCCTTTCAGCTCCTTGGCCACTCCTTCTGAGATGACTTCTCAAAGCTTCCAAACATGGCGCCCTCTTCTCCTTTGACCTTTTGCCTCCTCACTGGCTCTTAGTCACACCTTATGACATCACTCTTGCCTGGGTTGAGCAGAGTTGGCCACGGTACATGCCTCTTGAGACAGTCACCCCAGGCTATCCACATAGCAGGCAAAAATGTGTTCCATGAATGACGTCCGGGTCATTATCCCCAGTACCTGGGCACCCATGACCTGGTGATTATGTCAAGGGTCTAGAGAAGGAACTTCTATGAAATTTAGATGGCCTTATACAGTCACACAGGCCTTCTTGAGTGGGGGGCGGGGTCAAAGGATCAGTATAAGGAGGGGAAGTGTGACAATGGAAGCTGATGTTGAAAATGTGCTTTAATGGTGGAGGACGGTGCCAGGGCCAGCGCAGGTAGGAAACTTCCGGCATCGGAAAAGGCAAGAAATGCCTAATCCCTAGAACCGCCAGGAGAAACCCAGTTTTGCAGTCACCCAAGTCACAGCCCACATGACTCACTTCGGATTTCTGACCTCCTAAAGTGTAGAGCTGACGAAACAGTTTGCTGTTTGATGTTAAGGTGCGTCAATTCTGGGTAGTTTTACAGCCACAAGAGGCAACTGATCGACATGCAGAAAATGCTTTTGCTTGTGTGGACTTGGGGGCACGTTCTGCAGGCTGATAGAGTTTTGATCCTTTATGGAACAGAAGAAAATGGCCTTGAAATTGTTAAATGTTACATAAGCTGTATGAAAGGGGTAGTTAGGTGAGCACAGGCCTAGAGGCCAGGGACATGACCCCAGCACACCCTAAAACCAAGCGAGAGGCATCAGTTCTGCTCCTGCTGCTGGGGAGGTGTATTTATCCTCAGCGGGGTGATGCTCTGAGTGTCTCTCTGGCTGCCCAACTTCTTCAAGTGCACTGTTTTTAAGCTTGACTTGGGCACAGCTTCTGCCACTGGCCTCGTGCCGTCCAGCCCAGCCGAGCACAGCAATGGCCTCTTCCTTCGCGGATTCTCTTTCTGTCCGTGTGGAGCAAGGGATGTTCTGCTGTCTGCTTCACCGCTGAGACAGTGGGAGTCAAGCACATTGCCTCCACGTCAAGGAACCTCAAGACTGCCAGAGCAATCACATTAAACAGGAAGACAGAGGAACTGTATACTCAAAGCATACCTGCCACACGGTTCCGTCGAGCCAGATTGGCACAGATCTGGTCTGATGCTTTTAATTGGTGTGAATTGATGTTGTGTTTAACCGCCCACCTCCTCCTGCCTCCTCATGCTGCCTAGGGAAAAAAAAAAAGATTTTAACATTTGTTTCTGGTTTGGTTGGCCAGGAGTCCAGGTTTCTCCCAGGGCTCCAGTCTCAGGAAAACACTGGGGGAAATCCTCATTTCCCAGAACTAAGCATTTTTTTCAAAAACTGCTGAGCTCCTGTGATTCATGTTGAGACCATCTGCAGCTCCGTCTTTGCAAGGGCAGGGAGCTCGCTTCTGCCTCTGTGGCAGTCTTAATTTCTGTCTACTGAGGTCATGATTCTGTGTAGGTATTCTTACTTTCGTTAAGATGTTTCTTGAAACGTTTTCGACAAGATATTGTTACTCATGCTTCTATTTATACAAGTTTTAGTTTCAGGTTAAAGTTTTTGCTTTTGCTAATTATTTAAAGCATAAACTAAATTTATTTTGCCATTTATTTTCATCATAACAGTTGCATCTTCTCAAGAATCATGTGTTTTTTGAGATGTGGCTACACTGTGAGTTATTTCGTTATTAAATATGTGAATATACGCCCTTTGTCATTATCAGTATTGTATATTTGCCCTTTTTAAACTCATTGGTAGGAATTTACCTGCTTGCTCTTCAGGGCTGAAAAAAACCCTCATTTGAGCTTGGCTTTCCCATGTGAATTTGTGGCTCGCTGTATGTTTGTCTACTTCCTTTCTAATCAAATGCTGTTTGGACCGGTTTCTGTTTAGTAATGGGATAGTTGCAGGCCGTGAACCTCCTCTCGTGCACTTGGTTTGCATTCCTGGAGCTTGATTCTTCTTGGCTGTTGTAATTATGATGTTGATCTTCTCTTTGATCTTCGATTAGAGTTTAAAACATTCCAGGTTGTCAGTCACTTGGACTGCTGGTATGTATTTCTTTTGCCATGGTGCTATAGTCAGAAAACTGTACTGGGGTCATGTTTCTTTTCTTGAAATGCACTTGGAAATTTCTTCACACTTTTGAGTAATCAACTTTTAAGAGAGTGCAGCTTTTGCTCATAAAAAGTCTCTATCTATGTCTGACTCTGTGGTAGGGTTAAGCTGTTCTCAGGTGTGGGGCCACCTGTGGCCGTGTTATTTTGGTTAAGCTTGCTTTGGATAGCCATGTGATTTGGTGTTGCCATAAAAATTTTAGGATTGCTTTTATTCTAGTTCTGGTGTTTTGATAAAAATGCTGAAATTCTGATGAGGACTGCACTGGGTCTGTAGATTCCTTCTGGTCATACAATCATTTCCTCAGCAATAATTCTGTCAAAGTTGGGTTTGGGGAAGCTTATCGGATATGGAAACATTCTGGCGGACCTAAATAAAGAGCTACAGCTAAGAGAGAGAGACTCAGTCTTTTCCAAGAACAAACTCCATAATAGGTCATCCAATTACAAGTGGTCAGTCCTAAATACATAAATACAAACAACACTAAATGCATTCAGTAGTTTGTGCGTCTGTGTTTACACAAGTACACATATGTGTTTATGTATGGTGTGTTTTTAAATATATATTTTATGATTTTAAATATATTATATATAGGCTGTACAATATAGTAAATATGTTTTATCTTTATAAATATATTGTATAGACTATATAATATATATTAAACATACATTTGTAGTAAGAGACTGCTCCTTCATTTCCTGGCCGCCCAGACCCAAATAATCACACAGAAACTATATTAACTACAGCACTGCTTGGACAATAGCTTAGGCATATTCCTAGCTAGCCCTTACATCTTAAAGTAGCCCATTTCTATTAATCTGTGTATTGCTGAGAGGCTGTGGCCTACCGATAGGGTTCTGGTGTCTCCCTGACTCCTGTTCAGATTTCCCATCTGGCTTTACTCTGCTAAGCCATTGGCCCAAACAGTTTTATTCATCAACCAATAAAAGCAACACATATACAGAAGGGCATCCTACATCATACATTTATATGTGTGCACACACACTCGTATATAGAAGAGACCATGAATTTGAGAGGGGGCACTAGAGGAATTGGAGGGTGGAGGGAGAGTGATGCAAATGCTTCTATTTACTTATATACATATAAATTTTTATATATTCATGTATGAAATTCTCAAAAAATAAAAAAAAAAGAGTTTTCTGGCAGTTTCCACAAAGTCTTTCAAGTATGGGATCGTGTTTTCTGCAAATAGGCATAGCTTCTCTTCTTCCTTCCTGTCTATATCCCTTTATAGCCAGGACCTTGAGCACTATCCTGAAGAAATGTGGAGAGGGTGGGAGGTGGGTTTGTCAGACGCGGCCTTATTATGTTCCGGTCTGTCCTATCCAGGTCTAGCTTCATTGAGGTGTTTGTCGGGGCGGCAGGTTGAATTTCACAAATGCCTTTTCTGCGCTTAGCAAGATGAAGTGTGGTCTCTGTTCTCGGGTCTACTTATATGGTATTAATTTGATATGTGGAACCAATCTAGGATGAAGCCTATTCAGTTATGATGGTGTTGAATCCGGTTTGCAAATGCAGTTACACCTTATTTCAAATGATAAATGTCACTTAAAAATTTTCCATATGCGTTCACTTCTGTCTCTGGGTTTGCCTTTTCAACTGCAGAATTATTGACAAAATCCGGGGTTTCTCTGATGATTGGTTTCTTGCCCACTCTTTCCAGTAACAGAAATTCTATTCTGTTTTCCCAACTGAAATGGGCTCAGTTTTTCCATTTTGGGCATCTATGTATGTATTTTAGCTACCCTCTAAACCCTACACATTTTACCTTGTGACGTAGAAGGTGGATTGGAATAAGGCAAACAGTAGTAAGTGAGGGCTGGCCTTCATTGCTATGTTAGCCCATGTCACCACTAAGTAGTCACATCAGAGAAAAACAGCCAAAGTATGGTAAGACAAAGTAATTGATGCTCTGACTGTCGAGTTGACACGTTTGATCTCAGTGAAACAAGAGCATGGGGGATGGGGCTTGCTTTCTGCCTGTAGTCTGGTTATATGCCCAATTTTCATCTTCATAAATGTGAATTAGAAGAACTGGAAAGGTGGCACAGCAGCTAAGAGCACCTACCTGAGTTTGGTTCCCAGCATCCACATGCTCACGACCTCCGACCTCGGGGGATCCGATGTCATCTTACAGCCTCTCTTAGTGTTTTACACATGCGCAGATCACATACACACACACTTAAAAATAAAAAAATCTTAAATCTGAATTAGAGTCTTTTAAATACCACTGCCCAGAATTCCTCTACCCACCCATAGCACTGGGCTGCCCTCTGGGAAGCAAACAAGAGTTGCTGACCTCTTACGCTGACTGTCCACATGTTTCTCTGAGTTTGGGCGATAGAAACAATGACCACCCCTGAGTCTGGACGCCCAGTGTTTGCTTCTCTCCATTCTTTCTCCTGTGTTTCTTCCATCAGAGTGTAGGAGGGAGAAGCTGAGCATCTTCCCTTAGCTCTAGGTTGCGGCTTACCTAGAGTTCCCAGAGGAGTTTCCTAGCACACTCTTCTCTATCCCGTGGGTTCTTTGCCCAAAATTATCACTTCCTCTCTGTCTTTCCGAGCTTAACACAACACATAGACCTTGCTAAGATCTCGCCAACCATATGAACTCCTTCATGACTCACACCCACGGTCATGCCTCACTCACTAACATTTCACACTGTCCCCGGGCTCACCATTCAGCCCCCAGATCATTTCCGTGGACTCTGTACTTTATCTGCCTCCAGCTCTGTTTCTTATCACCCAGTATATTATTTTGCCCATAATAGGTTGCTATAACTTTTTAATGATCTCTTAAAGAGAGAGGGAAAAGAACTGGCACTTCCCACCCCAGCAATGACCACGGCCCTACCCTTACCCTGACCACCTGGAGTGGTGACTAAAACATATTCCACTCCGTTTTATTGCTCCAAAGATTATTTGGTTTTAAAATTTTCTCTAAAAATCTTGATTTTCAAAGGTCATCAGCAGGCCAACTGTTTAAATGTCTTAAATATCTTTGGGGGGCAGTACACACGGTGAGTCAAATTACCTATTCACTCAGGAGCCCTCCAATTCCTTCCACCCTCTCCCTACTCCCGCCCCGCCCCCACCCCCTTTCATTGTTCCTACTCATTTATCCCTTTGGCAAGAAAAGTCAAATGAGACTGGAAGAAAATGCAGTTGACTAAGGCAAATGAATGAGCACGGGGAACTATCTTCCTAAGCCCAATCAAGTTCATAAAACAGATCAATCTCCTGTTCCAGGGACAGACTGGCACCTGAAGTA